GGGGGATGCGCGGGAGGGGCGGGGGCTCCGCTGCTGTCTCGCTCTTTCTGTCACGCTGGTTTCACACCCAGCCCCCTGTGGCTCGGCTCTGTAGCTGGCAGCGGAAAGAGGCGCGGGGAGGGTGGAAAATCCCCGCCCCGATTTGTGCTGGGGGGTCGGGGGGGGCAGGGTGTCCGATGCCACTGGCGGGGGGTGTCGTGCCCCCCAGTGCCCGTGACCCCCCCCATCCCCCTCCAGAGCAGCGCAGACGCTTCGGGATCTTCACGCGGAGCCTGCTCGCGGCGCGGCGGCTGCAGGAGACGGAGCTGGGCACGGGGCAGTACGGGGTGACCCGCTTCAGCGACTGGACAGGTGGGGAGCGACCCCAGCGCCTCCGAGCGCCGCATCCCTCTCCCCTGCAGCTCTGCACCCCCTCCTGTGCACCCCTCCTTTCCTCGCCCCCAACTGCTCTGCACCCCTCCCTTCCCCTTCGCCCACCACTCTGCACCCCGAGTCCCCCTTTTCCCACCCTGTGCCCTCCCGTGCACCTTCTCCCTTCCCCGCCCCCACCACTATGCACCCCCTTCCCACAACCGCTCTGCACCCATCCCATGCATCTTTTCTGCTCCCCCTACTCTGCACTCCTTCCTTTCCCCCCTCCCATTGCTCTGTACCCCTCCCGTGCACCTTCCCCGCCCCCACCGTTCTGCATCCCTTTCCCCTGCCCCCCCACTGCTCTGCACCCCTCACTTCCCCTTTCAGCGCCATCTCCCTCCATCTCCCCAGATGAGGAGTTCCGGGGGATGTTCTGGAGCCCGCCGCCCCACACCATGCACCAGGCCCCCCAGCTCCCGAGGAAGGAGCCACCCCCATTCTGCGATTGGAGGAAGGCGGGGGCTGTGACTGCCGTGAAGGACCAGGTAGTTGTGGGAGGGGTGGGTTGGGACCCCCCCAGACAGGCAGTTAGATGGGGCAGGACAGGGGGAGCCATTGGGGGCTCAGTAATGACAAAATCGTTCCACCCTGACTCCGCTCCCCACTGCTAACCCCAGGCGGCGCCCACTCCCTCAGCTGGGGCATTGGGGTCAGCGCTGAGGCTGGGGAGAGCGCCCCCTCCTGCCCTGCAGCACAGCGCCCACAGCACCACTCTGGGCCTCACCCCTCTCTCTGCAGGGCAAAAAGTGCCACTCCTCCTGGGCCTTCGCTGCCGTTGCCAACATCGAGTCCCTCTGGAACATCCACTTCCACCAGCCCCAGAACCTCTCGGTGCAAGGTAGGGGCTGTGGGGAGCCTCGCCCCCTCGACTGGCACAGGGTGGGGCACCCCAGCGCTGCCCTGATCTGTGCAGCAGCCCCACAGGCAAGGATGAATGGGGCACAGAGGAGGGGGTGCCTGGGGCTGTTCTAAGCTCCTCCCCCTGAGAATGAGAGTGTGTGTGTGTGTAAAGTACCCCCTTCACTTCCTGTCCCAAACTGGGAGCTTGTAACCTTTCACAGGCGGGGGAGCAGGCTGGGTGTGTGGGGTATACAGGGACCATGTCTCCATTCATGGGGTTTCACATATTTTCACCCTGTTAGCACTTACGGGGGTGGGGGGACAGCCCCACCACAGACTTGCCTCCTGGTAAGTTAGGATCCTGTCACCGACCTCCCCTCCCCCCGCGTCTATTATCAGCTGAGCCCTGCCTGTGAAACTCTCCCCCACCAGATGTTAAAGCAGGGGGTGGCAGGTGCTGAGTCTCTCCATCCAGGGGTGGGTTCATCACCCCAGTGGAAGCCACTGTGGGACGTCCTGCCTGTCGGATGAGCCTGTGCCCACTGGGGTCTTTCCTGGTCAGTGTGTGCCACCCAGCAGGAGCAGGATCCCAGGGTCTGACTGGGGTGAGGGGGAGCTGGCTTGGTGCTCACCCACTACTTCCCTTGCAGAGGTGTTGGACTGCAGCTTGTGCGGAGCGGGGTGCAAAGGGGGCTATGTGTGGGACGCCTTCACTACGGTGCTGCACAAGGGTACGTAAGCACTGGAGGGATGTGGGGTCCTTTGCCCTGCAGACAACAAACCCCCTACAGCCCCCAGGACTGTCCCCTGTTCACCCCTCACAACTATTTACTGTGAGGATACTTTAGTGCATGGAGACTCACTCCGACTGGGGCCCCCCATCGTGCCAGGCACTGCACAAATCCCAACCCAGATTAGGGCCCTGTCACCACAGGTGATGCACAGATCCCTTGACTGAGATTGGGGGCCCCCCAGACCAGTCTGCAGCCCCCATCATTGGACGCTGTGCAGACCGTGACTGAGATTGGAGCCCCCATCACGCCAGGTGCTGCATGGACCTTGACCCAGACTGGAAGCAATTTTCCCAATACTGTATACAGAAGGGAGACCCCACCTCAGTCCTAGACCCTGCTCTGGCCACACTCTTTGTGACAGGCTGAATTTGGGGGGAGGGGATTTACTCTGACCCGAGTCAAGAACAGGGGAAGGATGGAGCAGGGAATGAGGCGCTCTGGGCCTATTCCATAGCTTTCACATACACTCCCTTCCAGGTGGTCTGACCAGCGAGGATGCCTATCCCTACACAGGGACACAGGAGACATGCCACCACCTCAGTGTGCCGGCTGCCTATATCCAGGGCTTCCAGACACTACCTGGAGATGAAGAGGGTGAGGCCTGGGGGGGAGAGGGGTTGGGGTGGGGTCAGCACTGGGGCCAGGGGGGAGTGTGCCATTCAGGGGGAGTTCTGGGGGAAAGGGAGCAAGTGAGGGGCAGTAGAACAGGATTAGGGGGCGACAAAGAGGGCTGGGGGGGGGAGAGGGGGGAAGCAGGGGCAGAACTGATCAAGACCTGGTCTGTTTCCAGGCAGCTGTTCATAGGCAGGAGAGTGCATGGGGTGATGTGTGTGAAACCAACAAGGGTCTGGTTAGTTTCATGCTTCCCCCGGAGGAGCTCTGAGCAGCAGAGGGGGAATGTGAGGCGTGCAGGGGGCCCAGAGGAGACAGGGAGGGCCAAGGGCGACTGCAGCCAGTGTGTGGGGACAGCAGCAGACTGGTAGGGCCATGCCTGGGTCAGGGGTGTTTGTTCCTGGGTCATCATCCTCACCCAGTACATTTGGGTTTCCTCTTGTAGAAATAGCTGCACACGTCGCAAGCAAGGGCCCAATCACAGTTACCCTGAACTCAGCTGTCATGAAGGTACGTGCCACCCAATTAACAATGAGGGAGAAGCCCTCTGGCTATTCAGCCCATCCCATGGTGACTCGCCCACTAAGCCCCACCACTCAACTCAGTTTCCGCTCAATTTTGTGCCTCTGCAGCATTATAAAAAGGGAATCTCCCGGCCCTCGGTGAAGAGCTGCAGTCCAGACCATGTGGATCATGTTGGCCTGCTGGTTGGCTACGGGCATGGTGAGTGGGGATGGGCGGTGCAGGGGTTTGGATTTGGGTGAGATGGGGTTAAATGAACCGGGGGCTTGGCAGGGGGCTCAGCTGTCAGAAGCACTAAGACCACTGTGCCTTTCTCTTCGCCAATTCATTGCAGTGAAGAAAAGGCGGTACTGGGTCATCCAGAACTCCAGGGGGGAAGGCTGGGGAGAGAAGGTGAGTGGGGAGTGTATGGGGCTGCCCCCAGGGCAGTGCTGTCTGTGGGGGTGTGGGCTGGTTTTGTCTGAAGGAGGCTGTGCTGTGGGATCCTACAGAGATGGCCTCTGGGTGGGGTGCAGGGACTGTTTATACAGGGATCCGCTGCCTAACGCTAAGACACAGCCCCCACTGGGGTGAGGTGTGGGCTTTTATTATACCAGGAGTGGCCAGCCTGAGAAGGAGCCAGAATTTATCAATGTACATTGCCAATGAACCACAGTAATACATCAGCAGCCCCCTATCAGCTCTCCCCCCTACCCCTATTCCCAGCGCGTCCCACCTACTGGCAGTCCCACCAATCAGCGCCTTTCCCCTTCCTCCCCATCAGCTGTTTTGTGGCATACAGGAGGCTCTGGGTGGGTGAGGGGGAAGGAGCGAGGGCACTGCAGGCTCAGTGAGGGGGCAGGAAGGGGTGGAACGGGGACAGGGCCTGTGGCAGAGCCAGGGGTTGAGCAGTGAGCACCCCCCAGCACATTGGAAAGTTGGCGCCTGTAGCTCCAGACCCGGAGTCAGTGCCTATACAAGGAGCCGCATATTAACTTCTGAAGAGCTGCATGTGGCTCCTGAGCCACAGGTTGGCCACCCCTGTATTATCCACTCCCTGTCCAGGTTCCGACCCCGTTCCACTTTGACGCAAAGGTGGAGTGATATGTCTACACTTAAACCGCTACCACGACACAGCTGCACCGCCACCTCCACCAGTGGCAGGGGTTCTCCTGTCACTGAAGTTCATCCACCTCCCTGAGAGGAAGGAGAATTCTTCCATCCACCTAGCGCAGGCTACTACAGGGGCCGGGCGGCACTGCTACGGCTCTCGGGGTGTGTGGATTTTATGTAAGTTCCTGGTGTAGAGCAGCCCTGGGTGAGGAAAGACTGTCCAGTACCATCTGTCCCTAACCGCCTGTCCCCTCGGCAGGGCTATTACCGTCTCTCTCGCGGCAGGAACGCCTGCGGCATCACCACGTTCCCTGTAACAGCCACCGTCCACCGCGTTGGGGCTCCGGGACATAATGTCCTCTGCCCGCACTGAAGGGGGTGCTGCTGCTGCCGAGAGCCTGCTGACTCCCTGCCAAGACCCCTGCCACTGCCAAGACAAAAATAACTGGGGCCACGGGGTCTTCGCTGGGTAATGGGGGAATGAATTCGATACTCAGACTGCTATAGCTTCATACCCACAGGTACCCAGAGCTGGGCTCGGCCCTTCCAGCAACACTGCCTCCACGCGAATGCTCCTTCCCTTTGCTGCAGCAGGGAAAGGGGCCATGAAACTGCCATTAAACTGCTTTTATGTGCTATGTGTGTGGCCCCTTTGATGGGGGGAGGTTGTTTAATTGTTAACCCGAGTGTACCCCCCCCATCTCCCCCCGCGCTGCGCACTCCACACACCAGCTCCCTCGGTACAGCAACGGTGCAGGCTTTATTGGGATGCTACGATCACAGCTAAGGGGGTTTCCAGGTGCTGCCCCCAGGGCCATGATGGGGGAGAAACACCCCTTTCCCCAGCAGCTCTTAATTCCAAACTCCCCCCACCCCCTCTGATGTAAGGAGCTGGCCTGATCCCAGACAACGCAGCTGGGTTTGCACCCCAGGTAGGTGGGGGATGGCAGCCCCAACACCGCCCTCTACATGGTCCCAAGTCAGCAGTGTGCACCCTGGGGGCAGCTGATGGGTCACTGCACAGCAGGGGGCCTCGGCTCCCAGTCCTGGCTCTGATCCAGTGAGGGCTCCTATGGGGTCTACTGCAACTCTGGTCTCTATCGCCCCCCCAGAGGCGGTTCAGGCAGCAACCAGGCCCTCACTCACTGGCATGTTGATATGGGCAGTCAGCAAGGGCATGCTCTGGCCCTCCCGCAATACAGACACCTGCAAGAGAGAAGACAGAGCCCCCAGCGCTGAGATGCAGCCACCTCTGGGGTGGGGTACAGGGACTCTTTATACACAGATTCCCTCCCTTGGCATTGAGATGCAGCCTCCTCTGGGTCCTACCCCCCACCCCAGGAGGAAGGTGGGAGCATTTTAAAGGGTCAGGCAACTCTCTGCGATGGGGTGTCCCTGTACAAACCTTGATGATGTCCGAGATCCCCTTGTTGCTCAGATACTCCACGAAGTTTTCAATGGGGTAGTTCAGTCCCGGGACCAGCATGGGGGCCTGTAGGGAGACAAAGCTGAGTCAGTCAGAGTGCAGGGGCCTGTAGGGGTGGTCAGAGGTGTTGGGGGGTGGGGGTACCTTGAAGAAGGCTCTCTTCATGGCATAGAGGCTCTGGTCGTAGAGGAAGCTCACCAGCAGGTTGATGGAGGGGCGCCCAGCTGACGTGTTCTGAATGTGGAGGGTCAGTTTGAAGGTGGGGCCGATGCCCTGGACCTGGGGAAGGGCGGGTGGGGTAAATCCTGAGCACAGGTTCAATGCAAAGGAGAGAGGAGTCCTTGATCCCACAGCCAATCCAGCCAGCCTGGGGTTGGGGGGGGGGAGGGGTTCTCCATCACAGGAGCCACAAGAAGGGACCCCTGGAAGTCTAAAGAGATGATTGAATCCCAAATCTCACCCCCACCGTTCCGGAGTTCAGCCCAGATCTGCTCACAGAGCTAGAGCCACATCCCCTCTGGATTGGAAGCCCCCAAGCGCTGGAGAGTTCCCTGCCCCCCGTTGTCCGAAGGGCAACTCCCTCTCCCTGTTAAACACTGGCTGTGGCTGATGGTGGCTCCTGGCTCTTGCTCACACTTTCACTCTATGCATCCGAAGAAGTGAGGTTTTTACTCACGAAAGCTTATGCCCAAATAAATCTGTTAGTCTTTAAGGTGCCACCAGACTCCTTGTTGTTTTTGCTCAGACTTTGTCTGCGACCTTCATGAACCCCCTGCTCCCACAAATCCCCCCACTATGCAGAGAGACCGGGACAAGCCCCCTCAGGACCTTCTCTCAGAGGAACTCTTCCACTAGGGCTCCCTGAGGCCCAGGGTTTCCATTGTTCGCGTGGCTCCTCGCTGACCCCTCCCCCGTGGGTCAGTATTCTCATGGAAGCGCAGCCCCCCAGGTGCCTGCAACATCCTGTAATGGCCTCGCGGGCGCTGCCTGCTCTGCTCCCAGCACCTCCGCCCTGAGCACAGAGAAATCAGATGCTTCTCTCCCACCAGTAACCCTGCCAAAGCAGGCAGCTTAGTCTAGTAGTTAGACCATGTGCTTCAACATAGAGTAGGGTTACCATATTTCAACAATCAAAAAAGAGGACGGGGGGAGCCCCGCCCTAGCCCCGCCCCTGTCCTAGCCCCGCCCCCGTCCTGTCCTAGCCCCGCCCCC